TTCCTCCTGCTACGACAACGTAATGCAGCCTCCGTTGGGTGCCCAAAAGCAGTCGCACTAACCCTCAGCATGTGTGATTTCCCTCTCTGGGAGATCGCGCTACACGAAATGGTCTGTCCTAGTGCGCGCCTGAAACTTCTGCGATGCGGTTCTCTAAACCGCCGGCCTCTCTCGAAACGCAAATGCAGCTAATAAATCTTGTTCATTAGTTCCTGCCTATGCATCCGGATGTATGCTACCCCTCACGGTTTTTAAGGCTTTCGCTGCAGACGCTGCGTGGTTCGCGGACCGTCTCGAGCGCTTTGACAACAATCGCGCTGACCCCAAGGTTCCAAAACCGAATTGGCTAAGATTGCAATGTCCTGCTCAGCTCTAATCGCCTTCAATTCGGTTGACGATGAACGGCGTTCTCACAAGGGTGTGACCAGTGAAATATCTTTAACCCAGCTTACCATGCGACTCCGGTTCACCCTCACGGGAATGTCTTCCAAAGCAGGATGGACTTCAAGCCTTCACGTCGTCCTATGGGTTACAGATGCGGAGAACCGTGTCCGCGTTAAGGTCGTGCGCGTAGCTACCCACCCAACTCAACACTGCACGTCGTATTCCAAACCTTCCGCTGATCACAGCGCCCGCTATGCTTGACCTAGGACGGAACATAGGCGACACTAGAGTTGTCGACATTTCCGTTAGGCTGAGCAAGATCACTGCCGCTACCCAGTTTACCACATCGTCTCTCGAAAGCTCATCCTTTCGGACGTCCCCCCCCATACGGTCGGCAGCCGCATAGTAGACATCGTCTTCGCGAGTATGACTCTCGGTGCGAGTGATGAACCGTACCTTAGCGATCTCCTCCCCCGTCTGACGCCGATACATCTTTCCGAATCACTGGCCGTAGCCAGTGCCGTAGCTATTAGCCTGACCCGAGACCAGAAAGAAGCCATTCGCGTCGGCACGGGCAGCATCTCTACTGTCACCTTTCAGGTTGGTCTTGGCACAGGTAAAACGCTGCTTGTCTGCAGCACTAACGACAGCGAATTCTAGCACCCTTATAGGGATGGCCTCTACGAATGTGGCCGTAGCGCAGTTCATGGATAAGTTACTCTCTCTGAACGACTTCCCCCCCCCGTTAATGTAGTGCATCAAATTTTAGACCTTGCTTCTGCGACAAATGTAGCCCAACTCTGGCAGACCTCACTAAGATCCTGAAAACGCTCGGAGACGACTTTGCGAATTGGAGAACCCCGACCACGTACCGGCCATATCAGATCGGGACAAGGAGGAGCACACTATTGCAGAACAGTATGTGTCACAAACGTTGAAATGGATGGTAGGAATCATGTTCAAGGTTTGGCGGCCATTGGGACCACGTCATCAGTCCTAAATTCTATCAGCAGCGCAGGATTCTCGCCCAATATATCGATCCATTCCGTATGGACATCGGTGAAGAAGCTTCGCAGATAACAGAGTCGGTACTCCTCACCATCGTAGGAGAGCTGACGACGCCCGTCACTTTTACCTTGGAGACGTGCAGCAGTTAGCCCCGCACACCAAGTGCCCACACGGCTCCAATCCCGCGCTTTATGGGGTTCGTAGCGTGATGAGCCTTTTTTTGGTGGCTCCGGCAGTACCCGTGGCATCCTTGGTGATTGCCTTCCGCTCGCACCCCGCCCTTATCCAACTGCCTAATCACGCGGCCTACAACGGGGCACTCGTAAGCGGGACACCGGCAGGATCCGGCAGATGCTGCTGGCAGTGATGGATTTCTCCACCAGGGAGAGGGGGGTCCCCTCCTTTTCATCGACACCATAGGGGACTCCATGCAGGCTCCAAGCAAGTCACCTTTCAATGCGAAAGAAACCCGCCTCTGCACGCACGTCATACGGCAACTTCTATCCAAAGGGATCCCTGCTGCCTGCACCTGTGCCTTTTCATAAACAGCAGTATCGAGAGATGCAGGACGAGCTGAGCACCTTGAATAAGGAGCTGACCACGGTGGATTCCGTCCAGGGCCGAGAGAAAAGAAAGAGAGAAAGTTGTAATAATTTTTAACCCAGAACAGGATTTTCTTCGGTTACAGCCGAGTTTTTCGACGATTACCGTTGATTGAGTGATGTTCTGTCGGAGCCGGCATGGCCAATTTATTTTTGGTCATGCCGATCTCTTCGATGCGTTCCAAAGTGGAGCCGGCGAATGGGCGAAGTCGCTCGATTTGATTCGAAGACGTCAACCGCTATCTGAATCCCCCCCCTCCCGCCCATTAGCCTGTTTTGGTGAGTCCGTTCCTTTTTTCTGCTTTGAAAAGTCGGGGTCGGACCAGTCAAGGAAGAGGTGTGAGCCGCGCCTCAAGGCGACGGCGGGCTAGGATGACAAAGCCGCCACTCATTCATGTTCTCAGGAGGCGTGATGAGGCGGTAGAGCAGGCAAGCGAGGAGTCGACCGTACGATGGAAAGATAATCGGCTCCGTCCTTCAACTCAGGGAGGCCCTGCTTCCTTCAACTGCAGTACAACGTTGATCATCGATCTCGAGCTCAGCTACGGGCATCGTTACTATTTGACATCGTACATGATAGGCAAATTCACCTGTATTTCATTCCTTCTTTCAGCCTTTCATTGAAGTCCCTTTCTCATTGTGCCATTTGCTGAAGTTGCCCTGCGCATTGTTTGCTCATATTCCCCACGAATGTTTGTATATGTATCCGGGTATATACCCGATCTCTTATCGGATCAGAAAAGAGTAGCGTTTTTATTGTCGACGGCAAAACGTTGAATGCACCTTTCCTGCGCGGCGCTAGCATACTCGCCTTTACTTGCAGACCACTAACATGCTCGCCCCAATGGACTAGGCACCTCGAAGACACTGCATATAGACCTTTAACTCTATGTCACTCTCGTCACTCGTTGGGAACCCGTGAAAGTGGACACAGGGTCAACGATCCTTCGTGGAATCCTCAACGGAGGAGAAGTAATTGACTTGCTGAAAAGGGAGGAGAGACTCTTTTTGGAGGAGGCAGTATCAGCAAAGCGCAAACCTGTGACAACGTGAGAGTGGGATAGTGGTTAAAAGCAAAGCCGATTTAGTTGGAACACTTGTTATACAGTAATTTTTCCGTGTGAAAATGACACTGTAGGGAGAGTTCAGGAAAACTGAGAGGCGTAATCCTCCTGTTTTCCATTGGTTTCAAGCGTGAATCACGGGCTTCCATTAGCTTTTGACTGAACTTCAAAAGTTATTTGCGTTGTTATGCCCTTCTAGAAGGTGATTGGCTGCCACGATAAACTCCGCACCGGCGGATTTTTTTTCGGTGATCAAATTACATCGGTTCTGCTGTAAACAGAGATTTTACTTCGCAGCAATGATTTTTACTTCGCCCTGGGCCTTACATTACCAAAGTTATAGCCTCTGAAAGGTTGCTCGCAGGCTCACGAAACTTTCATCGTTAGTTCTTATGCGAAGCCGCAAGACTTCCTTCAGAAGTAATGTGAAACCTGTCAAGTGAAAACCTTCAAGAGATCACGAGCGCCTTCTGATTCGTAAACGTTGTTTCTGAAGAAAGCAACAACTTCTCGAAAAGATCAAGTAAAGAACCAGGGAAAGAGAACACGATGCAGATGAAGGAAAAGCCATTGCGCTATGTCCCTTTTAAAGGCACTTTCGCAGATTGCACATCTTAGGTAACAGAATCCAAAAGCAAGAGTGCATTGAGCTAGTTGCCCAAGTAGTGAAGAAAAATGTATGAAAAGCTGCCCTCAATATGACCCTCTTTCTTTCGTTTGATTATGATCATTGGACAAGACTGAGCGGTCAATTTCAACAGTGATATGCAGAAGGTGACGACACAGTGCAAAGCGCGGAGAGAGACTAAAAATTAACGGGAGAGAGAGCACAACAGCATTACTACGACGACACGAGCAATGTAGGCCGGCATGATCCTCCTTGATCCTAAAGTAGAAGTTTACGGTGCTTTGTGTGCCATTTTCCAAGTTTTAAATGCAGTGCAGCCTCTACACTCGCCTACCGGATCATTTGACACATTTATTAGGTTATAGCCTCAGTTTAAAGCGGAGCGTGCCTTTGATTTTAAGCGGTTATTTATTTTCCTTCTCCTTTTAGTGAAAAGGGGAGCAGAGTTTCAGTGACACCCTTTTGGGTAGAGATCATACCGACGGAGAGTTTTCTTCAATGTTATGCTTGGGACCACTTGAACAAAGAAGGAAATAGAGAAGAAGTGAAGCGGTTGAGCGCAGGGTCAGTATTCAGGAACAGTGGGAGGGCATTTTCGTAAAACGCATAAGGTCTGTGAACGATGTGATACGACGCCACCCGATGATACCATTTTCATTTTGTATGGGAACGTAATACGGAACATTGATCGTAACCAAGAAATTACGCCGTTACGAAAAAGTAGTTATTGATTAGCTCTAATATCCACGTTTTGCAACAAACGCATAGAAGAGCTTCTCGGACACTGATGACACTTCTGGCTTGACGGGAGTTTGGGGGACTCGATAAAAAACGATGAATTCTTATGAACTCGATCTTGATGGATAATGTGGGGAATCTCCATGAAACACCTTTTGTGCAGTGTACAGGCACTGAGTGCGAACAGCGGCGGTATACGCTTACCGCAACGGCACGACTGGCAGGCCAGAGTCATTCAAAGCAGCGTTTTTCCTTCCGAGGTCGATGTGTGAAAACGAAGGGAATGACAAATGAAGGAATCTTTTTGTTGATCCTGCTCACCCTTAGACGGTTCTGAAACATGGCTACGCTTGACGAAGATACGCGTGACGCATTTCACAGATAGTGATCAACGCCAAGTGACGCTGAACTGTTTGTATTCGTGTTTAACCACTACGTACTTAGCGCCCTCAAATGAAGGTGGCATTATCTTGATGTGCGTCATATCGCTTGAGTGATTGCCCGGTGGCTTGGTATTTTGCCAACAATCCAACAAAATATCCCCCCTTCGAGGTAATCAACGCCGAGTTTTTGTTGTCATGCACTTACCGGCTGGTTCGTAAGCACTTCATATCGAATCACTCTGAATGTCAGGGGTGGTGATGCTGACGGCTGGTAGTACATGATCTGGATGTTGTTCAGCAAGGTGAGCATGTAGTCTTGAAGCTTGGTGTGCGCTTGACCGCCATATTTGCTGCTAAAGTGCCTCCATAGTGTCTCATCGACAAACACAGCCAACTCAACCTGTAATCAGCACGATCTGCAAGTTACGCTAAAACTATATTAGTATCGAACGACAAGAAATTGCAGATTAGATAAGATGCGAAAAGGATCTTGGCCAATGAAAGAAACCAGTCTACCACGAGATCGCTCATCTGCTGCAAACGTTGTCCCGTGATAAAAACATCTTCAAATATAGCAGCGTCATATTCCACCAGCTGCTCTTCGGTAACGGTATTGTCTAGTCCGCAAAAATCAGCATCCTTAGAAGGAATTTGCCGTTTGAACACGACATGAACTCCGTTCTCTGAAACTTTCTGGCTGAACTGCCACGAACTAACCACAAGCTCTATAATATTGGGTTGGCTCACAAGCGATGGCGTTTTTTTTCCTATTATTATGAGATAATTGAGGATCATTTCCCATGTATCACTGTTCGATAGAAAATTTTTCGCTCTATAAGGTCGTGTGAGTGCCCCCTCCGACACTGTTTTTTGATTCCTGTTGATTTTATTTCGTTGAAATGGAATGTAGGGTCGACAATAAATAAACCTTTTGACAACAACTTTTTGCGCTTCATCTCGACTCCCAAAATACTGAAGGAGCGCAAAAATTGTGATACATATGTTTGAGAGGAGATTACTTATCATGACAGCTTGAAGTTGACATAAGCCATCAAGAGATGGGAATACGGGCCTTGTAAATGTGCATTGTATGGGGGGGGGGGCGCATGGTCTCCTGGATAGCGACTGCCTATAGAACCTCTCACTAACTTTTGACGTTTTCATAAAGTAGGGTGATGCCTGATGATTGTAAGGGAGCATCCATGACCTCGATTCCTCGTTCTCTGACATGAATTTTCATGAATACGGCGATTGAGTAAGCTCCTCAGTTGCACTCAATGGAGCATTAGGTCCGATGCGTGCATGGTGGGTTTGAAATGGAAGGTTCCTAAGAGACATTGCATTTGGCTATATGTTAGGTTGTCCCAAAAATTCGTGGAACTTTCGAACATTTTTTTTGAGTTAAGTTTATCCCAGTGAGAGGCAATATTGACCAACTATACAGGAGGGGGGGCAAAAAAAGTCACTTTGACCGAGTCACATATCAGCAAAGTTTTGCTGCCCAGACAGAGGTAAGTGGATAGGAGTACCAGGGCGGAAGATACCCAAGATGTTCCTCTACAAGCAGGAGCTGGCTCTCGCCCATCACCTTCATGTACACCAAAGTATGAAGTCATCTCCAGTCGCAGCCTGACTGGAGAAGACCTTTGAATTCACTTCCCCTCCAAACAGCTGCGAAACTTCTAGTGTGGAGTCACCCATGGGTAGCTACGCTGGAGAAGTACATCTAATCCAGAAGACCTCCAACAGAGAGCAGTTCCGACAACGTCGCCACGGTCTAGGACATCATCTTCACCACAGTCGTCAAGGCGCGGTTGATGGTATGGCCGGACGTACCTGGAATGGATAAGACGAATATTTTTTTCGGGGGACCCAGCGGACTGAAGGTGAGCGCTGGAGGTTACATTGAGCAACTCGTAAAGAATATCTCCTCATATGTCGTCGTCCGTACCTTCTTGGAAACTTCGTATGCTTCAGTATTGGGTGCCACCACATGGAATAGAAGAGCGTTGGAGAAACTCTCGCCTACTTGGAATGGAAGGGGATGGGTACCTAAAAAAGATGGAATATCCAAGTAGGTCACCTGACCTGAATCCCCCGATTACCCGGTTGGGCGGAGTTCAATAGGGTGCTCTACGCTGGCGGAAAAATCGACTACCTCGCTGATCTCAGGCACCACATCGCGGTCGCGTGCCAGAATCTCTCGATGGCGCTCGTCCAGAAGGCTGTGGCTAAGTGTCATGATAGTATTTGATATGCTCTTCAATGTGGAGGTAAAAATGTCCTATCCATTGTCAACATGTTGCCAACCACTACGCCGTGAGTGGTTGCCCTGCTTCCAGAAGCTTATTGGTTCTGTGCCCAGAAAGGCAACTGGGTCATTTCTGAGGTACCATCGAGAATCGTATTTTTTTTGACCCAAAAGATGACCGCTGTGGGATTAGTTTAGATGGGATCGGAAAGGGTTAAGTCAGGGCTACACGAAAACTGTGGTGGAATTTCCCAGCTAAGCTTCGAATCTCGAGCAGTGTCGTTTTCCAGTTGTGTGATCCTGAGCCGTGGTGGAGTATGCAAAGATTGCTCGTTTTGGGACCAAATGGTAGAGAATTTCAACCCCCTTTGCAGTTGATTGCAGTAGGCTTCCCTTGTTACGTTGGAAAGCGTTGGAAGGAAGAAATTCCTTTTTGAGAATGGAGAGATAACCTTGCCACATACACAGTCTCACCGCCCTACTGGATTGATAGGATTGCGCGAGTGGTTCTGTCCTCTCTGGGGGATCTAGCCGCTGGCGCTCACGGAAGTGATTTACTTAGAGACACCTCCTGCTCCATATCCAGTTAAAGTGCTGTTCAACTAGTCCATACAGCGGAAGCGAGAGAGAAGTTGTAGACAGTACCCACATGTGCTCCCCTTGGAGTGAACTCATAAGAGAACTTTTGACCGAACTTCAAAACTTTTCTGAGAAAGCGAAAACTCTCATTCGTGCTTTGAGACCAGTCAAGTGTAAGGACTAGACTACAAGTTGATTTGTACGAATTGGTTTTGATCGAGGAACACACGTGGTCCAAATCCAAGGCAGGTCGCCTCCTTGGACGAAGTTTCTCTCCCAGATAGAAGGCACCAAAGCGGAAGCAATTAGACTCTTTCAACGCCGCACTGTGGAAGGTAACATCAAGTCCTAAATCATGGAAAAGGCGCTTGCGGCTTCAACCACGTTGTGGCTTGGTAGGGATTCATATAGCGAAGTGTGTGGAAAATGATGAAATCCAGTTACCGTTTTGGATATGAGAACAGTGACGGTGAGGAGCGTAAAGAAGCTGTGGGATGCTTACTTAACACACTTCTCATAGACCACATAACTGCATCTCGGAATTCCTACGGGAAGATCTGACACGAGATTCAAAAAAATGCTCACGAACTTTCGGGACAACCTAGTACTTAGCAGCTGAGCCTGTGTGGTGCTAGCTTTTCAATGATAGGTAAAAGAGAGAAGCTGTCAAAAATGCTCAATCTCTTCGACCTGACACCGAGCTTGAGCACTCAAATATTAAAAGAAAGAGAAATTTCAGAGAAACAAAGGCTATCGCATAGGGCAAGGAATTATCTGCAAAGTAGTGTAAAATTCAATGGCAGAACTTTTCCTCTTCAGCGCAATATCTCGAGTGAGAAAAAAAAACGCCATTACTCAAGGGCTGACCCATAAGTAACACAATACATGCAATCAGTAACGATTGCTGACTACCTACCGTTCAGAGAAGCCCGTTTAGAGAGATGAGCGTGTCTATCAGGGAATGGTTGGATAATGTGAAGTCCACTATGGTCTATCAGCGTACCTCTCTGAAAATAAGCAGCTGTGCTTAACACGTTCGCGGCGACGTGTACTCCCGGGAGTATACGAAAACCGCTTTCGGCGAATTGTGTACTCCCTGGAGTACACGCGCCTATTCATTCGTTTTTAGTAATTTCTTTTCCTTTTTTTTACTGAGAATTGGATACAGGTAACCAAGCAAACAATCGAAAAAATATTCACACATTATTAGAGGCGGTACACCAGTGAGAACACTTAAAAACTTTTCCCTTCGGGGGAATCGTGTTTTTCCAGGAGTACGCGCGCCTCTTCGATTTTGCTATATATTTTCTTTTTCGCTAATAATTATATACGGATAATAGAAAACAATAGATAAATAATATCCACACATCAAAAGAGGCGTCTACCCTGAAAAAACACGCGAAAACTTTTCTCTTTTGGCCAATGTCGCACTCACAGAAATACACGCACCACTTCACTTATTTTTTATGAGTATTATTATTTATGATTTTTATTCTCTTCTTTTCACTGACAGTTATATACAAATAATAAAATAATATAACAGTAACATCAACAGGTATTAACACCAACATTAGATAAAACACATTAATATAATATCAAGAAGATATCAACGTCGTCTTTGTCCGGTTCCAGCGAAAGGATGGCAAAAAACTACTTTAAAGAGTTTTGACAAAGTTATATCCGCTGAACCATATACGGGACGATTGCTAAAGTGTTGCCTGCCCCGAACGCGTCGCCGAGAAACGGGAGTTCTTGGATGAGCGCCGCCGCCGCGAACGTGTTAGTAACCTCCTGATCTCTTAACAATAAGTCCTGTGGCGAAAAAAAGATTTTGAAACAAGCCGAAGTCCCGCGCTTCTCAAAAGTTTTGTTGGACTTTCCCAAATTGCACATGGCAACTTTGTTCTCTCAGATCAAGCACACCTGGAAAGAGCTGCTCCGCGAAAGGAGTGAAATAATTAGAGTCGTTGCCTGGACAGTATTATGAAAATTACGCTATCGCTACCACGTTGACACCGGATCCAATTTTAAAGTCTGTAAGGCTCTGGAAACAATACCAGTTTGTGCAGTAAAGAAAGTAACCGAAGAGGAAAATGAACACAAAGACAAGCACGACCCTCACTCGACAAGTCATTTGGGACCAATCAGATCGTCCATCATGGCGTCACTTAAAATATCCCAGTACTGTGTTGAATCACTTTTCGGAGCACTGTATGCGTTCTACTTCCCCTTAGGATCGTAATATCTATCGAATGTGATATGGCAGATGTAATTTGTGCTATGAACAAGGTGGGGGAGCCGTTGTGATAGTAAGTGTTTTTGCCGTGTCAGACGAGTCTGGTGCTCATAACTATCCACAGAGACGCACTGTAGGCGCTTGATTTGTATAGATTTTTTAAGAGATTTTCGGCATGTAATGCCTTAGTCAGACCTTAATTCACAATGCTAAGCATATAACAGCTACATTGAACTATACTTCAAGACCTTTCCATGAGCGATGACGGAGACGGATTTATTGGCGGGGTTGCATGCAGAAAAAATGGCTCGCCGGACACAACATTGAGGCATATGGAAATTCGGTGATCAGGGATGTGCCTCAGGAGGTCACGCAGCTTTTCTTTTGCTCGGTTTTATGCGAAGCATCTTCTGCTTCATGGGTAAACAGCGGGGTTGGTCGACGCTCTGTGTGCTCGTCCAGACGATACTTCGGAGGTCGTGCGGTCTCTCCAACGT